AGTTGAAGAGTCTCTCTCTCTTTTGTTTTGCTTTTGTTTTTCTCGCTCTCTCGCTCTTTCCGTTTGTGTTTGGGATGGACTTGAAAGGCCACACATTTGAAAATCGGGGACATTGATTCGACAGCAAGGGTCGGATTTGAGATCAGATTAGACAAGTTGCAGGGAAACGTATCCGCGTGCGCCTAAGTCAGCTTGGTCCTTTGCTGGGGCGGGTTGGGAGCGCCAGGGCGCCACAGAGAGGGCCGGAGACCAACTAATTCATTGGCGCGCATCGTGTGGTCCTAGGTGGGTGGCTTTGGGGGGGAGGCCTTTACAAGCACATGAACGTCAAAAGGGGCGTTGCCAAAGACAGGGCGCAATCTTAAGAGTCTAGTTTCACAGTGTGCCGCCTTTAAAAGAGGTCCTGCCCAGCGGGTCGTGCTTTTGAAGCCCATTTCCCAATCTGACGAGGACTGTCTTAGGATGTAACGTGTTGGCTTTTGTGACAATATTGCAGGATGGGAACTCGAACACATTCATTCAACCTCCGGGATTGCCGTGATTGTGGTGTCGTTCTTCCTTTCTGTTAACTCAGAGGCTGCCAGGAAACTTTTGGAAAGGCTCTAGTCTTTGAGAAAGCTGGAGCTGCTTCAATGATTGAGGAAGGTTGCCGGGACACCCGGGGCTTCCTCAGTCGCTTTCTCCAGCTGCATGCACAAACACATCTACATTCATTCTGTGTTTTTGCTTCAGCGTCCTCATAGCAAACTCTGCAACATTACAAGACCTCTCCCAAATCACAAAGTGGTCGCCAGCCCGTCCGGCAGGCAATCCCAGGCATGTCGCGTGTTTTGAGCACACTCTCCTTAGCAAGTTAGCCCAAACTCCCGGCTGTTGTCCGCGTTACCTTCAGGGACCCATCATACGGGCACCCCCTATTGGGAGTGGTATTGGAGAAATCATGTTTTTAGAGTGGTGTCGGAGGACAGCACAAGCATCACCCAGCCTGAGCAGGCTGCTCCCATACCACTCCCCTAGCACATCCTATGGCACTCCCACAGCTGCCGTGACGGTCAAAAGATGTCATTTGGCGGCGCACTGTTGAAATTATGGTAACCATTGCTTAGACCCCTTCTTTCCTATGCACATCCCCTCTCCCCATAGCACGTGAATAGCCCAAAGTCATGGGAGGAGCAAATATTCCACTCCCACAGCACTCCTGTGCCATCCCCTAGGCGCCTGGCCACGGGTGTCTCGGTTTCCTTTCGGCGCCGGAGGCCGGAGGTCCCCAACCGCACGGAGCCACCGGAGCCGAAGCCGAAGCGGCGGGCCGGCAAGCGATGGGTCAAGCGCAAGGTCCGGAGCGAGTCGCAGTGAGCGAGGTACCGGTGACCCACAGCGTTTTCAGCGCCAGATTCGGATGTGTTGAGATGTGCTGCGCCTAGGTGTTGGCAGACGTTTGACGCTTCCGTTTAGAACAGACTGCAGGAGTGTGGCTTGTGTTTCCTGTTCGATGAAACCAAAGGGCAGTACTACGCTATTGGGCTGTGGTCACTCTTTCAATATCTTTCAATCCTTTCCAGGGCATCCTTCGTGTTCATTGTTTCACCATGGTGACACCGATGCGGCGCAAAATTGCAGCTGTAAAGAGGGGTGCTGGAAGGAGGCAAGATCGGTAGTTGCGAGCAATCCCAAGAGGATTGCAGGCGAAACTCCAAGATGTCTTGCTTAGTCTTCGGTTTTGATTGCAACCAGGCGCATTGGGACCGTCCCCCGGACACATCAGCGGCATGTTTCTTTACACTTTCGACCACAGTTGTGTGGTTGGGGCCGATTTGGCCTTCCAGCGCCGCTTGTCTTGTCCAGGATGAGTGTAGCCACGCCTTCCATCCTGACCTGCCTTGATTACAAGACTCGCAGATGTCCACAGTATGTGCCAGAGTTTGCTGTGTACTTCTACACTCATGGTGTGATTCGCGACCTATGTCACGAAAGGTAGCCCCAACGGCTCTCACCCGATACCCGAACACCTAAGATGTGTGTTTACCTGCAATCTCAGGATGTAGTCGCACCAGTGACACGATGATTGTTCAATTATATTTGTGCAACAGTTTTCTGTTATCTTGCTGATTGGGATCCGACAGCACCATTTGCATCCATTTGCAAGGAACATCTCATGTTACCAAGCCTGCGGGCAACATCCATGTTGGCTGTCCCTGCGAAGAAGCATCATATGATCCTTAAGATTTACTGTTTATCTGGAGCTACCAAGCAGATGCCCACTGTTTGTTTGCACAAAGGCAGAACAGGGGATGTCTCGGCGACCATTCCTGGTGTACATATGCCGGCGTGTTTTGCCAGCGGTTGCCGATAACCGGCAGAAATCATTCGCTTGACTGGGACGAGGGTGGGCAGCACGTGTTTCATTTGTGGGGACCAAAGCAGCAACTACGCCCCCTCGCACTGGCTCAGAAATCAAGAAGGTATTTTGAAGTGTGTTGTTTTGTGCGTGTGTATGCGTGCTTTAGTCAACCTGGAGATTCATTCTCCATGTTTTTTTCGTGAAGTCGCCAAAAGCTACTGCAACTCTATGTTTGAGATATTTCTAGAATTGGTTCCTTAAAACGTTTTCCCCGCCCGGAATTACCCGCAAAAATCCCGCAACACTCCGCAAACCTCAGCCAATCGGAAAAGACGTTTTTTGGGTTTGGGGGAAGGCCAAAACTCCTAGAAATCGCTTTGAACGCCCAACACGCCCAAAACTACCATGAAACCAAAAACGTCTAGGAAAAGGCCGGATAATGAATCTCCAGCAGGAAGCAACGGGTTTCAGCAACCCCCGCTTGAAACCAGCCATGGGGCATCTGATGGTTCAACAAACAAGTAATTGTGATGAGTGGTTTAAGTCCTGCGGACTTTGGGATGGTTGGGTCCGCAACTCATTCAGCCCTTGCCAATCGTCGTTGCCAGCAGATAGACCCCTCCTCTACGAATGCAGGGGCGTGACCTCTTACATTGAGTTGCTTTTAGTTTTGCCGACCGACTTTGATTGTTGAGGTTTCAAGCTCGTGACCTTGCTAGTTTTGAAGACGAGCGACGGACAGACCTTTAAGGGGTATCAGTTCCCGTCGATTTGTTGTGGTAATATGGTCGGGCATCATATGTTATTTTTGTTGTCAGTTTCGACTTGCTTGCGGCTTGCAAGGATGCAGTCATTGAAGCACACTTCAGCAGAGCACATTCAATTGAACAGATCAGCACGAGTCACGTGACTATGTGTACAGACAAGCAAGATGCCCAATGTGCCCAATGGCCAATTTTGCGAGGTTTGCTAGGCAACTGCAAGATCACCATTTTGCCAATGAATGAGTCTCTTTGAGGTGGGCTAATTTTATGGCACATGTAGGGAAGCTTGCGGCAGCACCGGACTGGGCGCAATGCGCCCGAGTTGCCCGGGTTCCACAGTTCCGGTTGGGCCCCGATGGCTAACTGTTGTTTGTGAGCAGAAAGTGCAAAACGATCGTGGTTCTTGGTGGTCGTCTGGATGGAAAATGTCCCTCCTGCCACCTGGCATTATAATATAATGTGTGTATATGTAAATATCATAGATATTTGTATGCATACACACATTCATATACAGACATGTACATGTGAGTTGTGTGTGTGTGTCATCAAAGGTAAGACACACCTTCAGCAAACCCGCAAAGTTCTGTCGCTCACAGGGCGCCGCCACGTGTTTCAGGACTCGGGTCTTGACTTAGCACAGGCCATTGCACAGCACTCGAGGCGCCATTTTCGCTCGTGTTTCATGCCTTTCACATTTCAAGCATGAACCAAGACGCGGGCACAGGCGTTGCCTTCAGCACTGCTTGTGGTTTCATGTTGACCTTCATTTGAGACGTGGATATTGAGGAAGTACTGTGATTGACCTATAGGCAATGGTTTTGCGATCAGGTCTTGTTGTCTCATATGTTTTATTTAATGTGTGGGAGCTGTTTTCGTTGGCCGCATGACCGTTGGATGCGCGGCTGCGCCATGGGCACAGACCTTAGCGAGATGTGTTGCGTGGCAGGGCAAAGGCAGCTGACACGGGGCAAAAGGAGCTCAAAACGAAGGCTTTTTACCCTGGGGGGGGGGAGCATTCCCGTTTTGCGGTTTGGGAATCATAGCAGCGCATAATTGAATAGACTGCAACCGGGTTGCTTCTCAGGTGTTTTCTCCTTCCACTTCTTACAAAGTGTAAGATACGATATAGAGCAGCGGTTTTGCACGATGTGTATCCTCGTGCAGCGAGTTCACGAGTCGGATCATTCGCCCGGATCGGTGGTTCCTGGGCTTCTGGAAGCCATGTGGCCCTTTTGTGTTTGTTTATTCCAATCGAGGTTTTCAAGTGGAGGTTGAGTTGGGAAATTGACAAGATGCCAGGTAGGTAGGTAAATGTCTTTGCAGCTTGGCCGCAAAGATTAGGTTGCACAGTGACCTTGAACAAGACATCCAAACGGCATCAATGTATGCTGTCACAGGAGTGCAGCCCATAGATGTTTCACATTTTCCACAAGCACATAATCCCATGGTGCCTGACTGAATTGTGTGAGTCTTCAACTCGCGGTGCTGGGGTCTTTCATCAGGTCCATCAAAGGGTTGACAAAACGCCCATGGAACCCTTTCAACCCTTCCAGGGTCCAAAACGATAAGGATTCTTCCACGGCAAGACCTTGCCGTAAGCACAGGTTACGCTGTGGGGTACAGAGTCAGTGCCTAGTGATCCTGCCCGGAGGCAGTTTCGAAGCCACACGGGGGCGAATTTGACAAGATGGTGACCCTTTTTGTGGACCCTTTTGTTTCAAGTCGGCCCACCAAATGACACCGAGCTGGGTCCTAACAGCTTGGTACCATGCTGTGTCTTTGCCCTTTGCTATGGAAACTAATTCAATCCTAGGTTTCAAGTTGAGCCCTGGCCAAAGGGGCCAGGCCTTCTGAATTCGACACTTTTTTTGCATTTCGCCCACGTCCTGGCTTTCGGCTCGAGTGCCGGATCAAACCCGGCGGCCAGGGAAAGGCGCCAGAGAGTTTCGGAGTTCTGATAGACCATGTTATGGTTTATATCATCATTGTTATTCTGGTTCTATGCCGAGGCAGAGCATTTTGAGGGTGTTATTACCACTCTTAATGTACTGATATATTTAGGAAAGCCTGGGTTTCCATGGTACATACCTCTTTGCCAAGTTACTTGAGCATCATACCCTGAAACATGGGGCCAGGGATCCTTCTCGGCTAAGACATGCCCAACGCCTGGGGGGAATGGGATGTTTCTGAGCATAAGGATGAGGGAAAATCATGGGGAAGCAACCATTGGAGGCTTTGGTTAGAGCCACCCCTTGAAATTGAGTGGTGCATATTCATAGTGTATTTGGGACGTCCACCAAAGGATCCACATAACTCATACCCGCATTCTGTTACGAGCCACAATTGACATGTGTGTAGTTGTGTAGTTGTGTACTTGAAACTTTTTGATCACTTATATTGTTTTTTGGATGTTTTAGTAGACTCCGTGGATACCGATTTTGGAAAGCATGAATCAGATGAATTCCCGGGTGCACCCCGGCTCGAGTTCCTTTTCTGTGTTACTCCTTTAACTGGGTTGGTGACCGATCTCGGCATCCTTTTCACACCAAAAGAGCCGCTGGTTTTGACGCGCATCCGATCAATTTGGTGTGTCAGACTTGTCCGGTGATGGCCTTCGAACCAAGAGAAAACCCATCGTTTTAAGGCGCAAGGGTCCCTAGTGTTGCATCCTGGCACGGGGCAGTTTGCCCGCGGCAGTTGCTCGCCTCAGACCTTGCTGCCATTTGGATCCTTGCTACTGTACTGGTGCTCGCTCCAATCAGGTATTCCTCTGTTTCGGTTGATGGTCTTTGCTCCTAGAACCCCTGGCACATGGCACGGCTTCGCTTTCAGACTCTGCGAGGCCAATGGCGCCCAAAAAGAAGGCCGACAAGGCGGAGGCGCGTCGGGAGTTGAGGCGACCGGTTGACCAGGTGGTTTTTCAACTTTCACCCATTTGCAGTTGTGTTTCTTTGTTGAGTCTGTATTGCAGGGAAACCACGAGGAACACCCGGGACCCCCCCCCCTCCCCTGGTCATTTTGGCGGCAAGCCCATGCTTTTGTCGCAGCCCAAAGTTCAACCTCTCCTTCCCAGGTCTTTCGGAGCGAGGCTTCCGTGTGTGAGTAAATACTGGTGATCCCTGAGATTCTGTGTCAGGCTCCCATTTTCAGGCCGCCATGTTTTGGACTACAGTGAAAGGTTAGGGAATGAGGCGACAGTGCTTTGGGAATGTAGCACGGGCCCCACAACGGGATGCCATTGTGATGCTTGAGACAAGTCGTGCCGTTGAGTGTTGTAAGTGTGGTCACCGGGGAGTGCCGTCCGAACATGTACCTTCAAAACTCAAGACCTATTATTGTTTGAAAGTAAGCCGTTTCTCCGTGTCAGGGCTTGTTCGAATCACACTTGGAGTTCAGAGTTTGCTTTTGCGGTCCACCTCAAGTTAACATTGACATCATGTTGGATTGGCTTCTCTATGGCCCATTCACATGTTTGCAAGTTTGGTACGCTGTGTGTCGCATCCAGTTGTCCCTTGCCAGATGGATATGGCTTTTGGGTTGATCTGTGATGGCTTTACGTGAACGCCTGTGCAGATGTGCGTGTATGCTGGTGTATGTGGTTGTTCGTCGGGGTGTGTATGTTTGTGTGTATAATCCTTGTTTGTGTGTGTATGTCAATGTGAGCGAGTGTTTGTCCATATTGGTGTGTGTGGTGCGTGTGGTTTGTTGTGTGCGTGTGGTTTGTTGCGTGCTTGTGAGTTTGTGTTTGTGTTTGTGTTTGTGTTTGTTTGTGTCCAATTGCGCGATGATGTCAAGTTTGTGTGTGTGTGGTGTGTAGTGTGTGATGATGTGCTTCTTTATCATTGATTGCTTGTGCATGTGGATGTGTGTGTGTGTGTGTGTCTGTGTGTTTGGATGTTTGGGTGTCTGTGTGTGTGCGTTTATGTGTCTATGTGTGTCTGCGTGTCTGTGTATGTTTGTGTACCTAGTTGTGCGTCTCTGCGTGGCATTGCCGTCTGTGCGCGTATGTGTGCCCGTGCGCCTGTGTGTGTGTGTGTCGGTGCTTGTGCGTGTGCATGTCAGAAACGCAATGTACCTTTTTGAGCTCCCCCTCCAAATAGAAAGTAAGCCCCCTCCTCAGATCTCTGCAGGTGTTGCTTTTTCCGATAACCGTTGTTTCGTGGGGTGGAAACACTGTAACTTCACATGCCTCCACGTTGTAGTATTGCATTTCGCATTTTTGTTGCAAGAATATGTAGTATTCCATTTTCAGGTACCTGCGCAGGAAGTTTGTAAGTTGCGCGTTCAGACGTACCTCGACGTTGAAGGCGTGGTGTGTGTGTGTGTGCGCGTGTGTTTGTGAGTGTCGCTCTCTCTCTCTCTCTCTATATATATATATATTTGTTTCGTATATGTCTCTCCCTAGCTCTCTCTTTCTCTTTGCGTTCGAGCTTGCGTTTGTGCCTGTGATGTGTGCTTTCTTGTGCCTGTGTGTGTGTGCCTCTGATTCTGTCTATGTGTCTATGTGAATATGCGTCGGTGCTTGTTTGCGCGTTGGTGTTGGTGTGTGTGCGTGTGTGCGTTTGTCAACGTTTGCGTCCACGTCTGTGTTTGTTTGTTTGTTTCTTTGTTTGTTTGTTTCTTTGTTTGTTTGTTTCTTTGTTTGTTTGTGTGTGTGTGTGTCCGTGTGTGTCCGTGTGTGCCTCTCTGTGTGTGGGTCTTACGTATGTCGTGCTTCAATCTGCGTGATTCCTTTTTGTTGTTTGTGCCTGTGTCTTTGCGTGCTCATGTGTGTGTGGTTGTCTCGTGAGTGTCCATGTGTCTGTGTTTGTGTTTGTGTTTGGGTGTGTATACATATATATATATATGCACATGTGTGTGTGTGTGTTTGTGTTTGTGTTGTGGTGTATTTGTTTGTGCCTGCGTCTGGGTGTAGGTGTGTTTGTGTCTTTGTGTATGTATCTGTTTGTTTGCCTGTGTGTATGTGTGCTTCTGTGTGTCTACATGCATTTCCGCGAGCATGTCTCTGTGAGTGTGTCTAAGTGCTTGATTAGTTGTATATGTATATATCTGTGTGTGTGTGTGTCTGTGTTTGTGTTTGTGTTTTGATGTTTGTTTGTTGTGTGTGTGTGTGTGTGCGACCATTCTGAGAATAAAGAAGCGCGGCAAGGGAGGAACGATGCGAGCCTTGGACAACGAATACCGCACATTTGTCCAGTGAAAACGTACCTGTTTCGCAATACTTCGGCGTTGGATGGGCGGCTGGCATGCCTCCGCCAAGCATATCTTTACCGGTTCCAGAGATGGACATGACAGATGTTACCTTCTTTCGGGGAACAGATCTGGTGTGTATTTTGGTGAGGGAATTCTGTCAAAGTGGCCGAGGTCGGTCCCACAGGCCAGAAAACCACGTTCAATCAGTGCGCTCACCAAGATGGAGCGTCCTGCTATGTCCTCCTACCGAATCTTGATCGCAGCTTTTCGTGAGCTTGATTCGCATGGAGGGATTGTACAAAAGAGGTCCAGCTGTAATTCACTTTCTTGAGTTCCATTAAGCTGCCACGTAACTTGGCTCTCATCGAACAAAAGAAGGAAGCCGCACGACCCATTTTGCAGCTGTCCCTCCAAGAGCTGGCTGCTGCAGATAGCCCTCAACTTCTTCACAGCTGCAGAATAGGTGGTCAATACAGCAGGGCAAGATGCGAGAACAGCAGCGCAGATTGGTAGAAAAGCATTGGCTTTTGGAGCCACGACCCGGACGCAAAAAAGAGGTGCAAAGACCAGTGTGGCTGGCGACGAAGACCGCGACAAAAGGGGTAGAAGCCGGCCGCCAGGACGACGACGCCACCGAAAGCAGGGCCCGCCGCCGCCGAGTTGAACCAGGGGAAGACGTTGTTCGGATGTGGCTCGTACACATTCCCCAAACAGAGGCACGAGCTGTCAGGCGCCTGTTGATCCTGGAGGTACCGGATGGGCGCCCTCCACGGCCGCTGGGAGGCGGTGGTTGCTGGCGTCCTGAAGGCCACGAACCCGGCCATCGTGTTGGCCAGGCGCCAGCAGCAGACCTTCTTGGCGTGCCTGCAGCGAGGGCAAGGGGGCGCGCAACCTGGCCTGAAGAAGCTATTTCAAGTGAGCTTCGGCTTCCAAAGTGTATGCCAGGCAAGAACGAGCTCATGTTCGAAAAGGGCTGGGTCGTCTCGAGCCGGGTCTTGCTTAGGCGACTGTCGGTGCTCTCGGCGCTTGCGAAGGTGCTGAGCACGCAGCATTCCAGGAGCGTCCGGCTGCGGAGCAGCTGGCCCTGGTTTGCCTTCGCATGTACCTCCGGAGCCGCGAGGCGAGCCTCGCAGCGAGCCAGGTTTGTTTTCTTCAAAGCGAGGCAAGATTTTGCGGGTTGGGACTGGGGCCAAGAAGGTCTCAGGCGGTCTGATTGATGCACCTTTGTGTCATTAGAGGTGACGTTGGCCTCAACCAAGGCTCCTCAAAACGTGCCAGAAGCACAGCGAGCTCTCGTACGGCTGTGTGGTTTTGGCCTAGAGTGGGCGCAAGAGCTTCTTGGCTGCGAAAAAGGCAAGCGTCCGCTGGGCCAATTCTTTCAGGTGAACGCCGGGCCAGGCTCCTTCAGCCACCAGTGCAAGACTCCAGCCAGAAACCCAGAAACGAGAGAAGGTTTTCATCGTGTAGTTGACTAAGTAAACACGCAACTCAGAGCTTAACGGAACAACGTGCCGAAAAGGAGCGGGACACCGGGCACTTCCTGAGGAACATTGTAGGCTACCAGATGGGGCAGCGCGACATGGATGTGCGCGGTCAAGAATTCAACAACTATAGTGTCATGTTTGAAGCAAAGCGCCAAACAATTTCCAGTCGGTTGACCTGAACATGAAAGCTGACGTGGCTTTTCTCAGCAAAGCAGATGTTGCGCGAGACATGGACGCGCCCAGTCCAGAACTCAATCTTTCCTCTTGGGAGTTTCACAGTGACAGAGCTTGGCGCGCAGACAAAGGTGCGCGATCTTGCTAGGCCTTCTCTGCCCAACATGTAGGCATGTTGGAGTGGAGCCCTGATTGAACAGATGACCAAACGCGCCGTATTAGGCACTGTTCTTCTCGTATGTGTTTCCTGGAGCAGGTTAGGTGTGGGTGTGTGAGAGTGCGTGTGCATTCAGACAACAAACAAGCGCGCCCTCTTAAAAACAGAGCTGTAGCCAGGCAGGAAGAACGCAGTGCTTGGCCAACGAAACCTCGCATTTTTCCCGGTGAAAGCGTACGGTGCTCGGGCGTTGGGAGGACTGGCAAAGCACATCTTTTCAGACTTTAAGACTTTAGAGACAGTGTATATTTGATAGGCGTCATCTCCTTCCTGAGAGCAGATGAGTGTGTGTTTTTGCGTTTGTTTGTGCCTGTGTTTGTGTGTATGTGTTTGTTCGTGTTTGTGCTTCTATGTTTTGCCTGGCTGCATTTGTCCTTGCGTGCTCATATGTCGGTACCTGCCTGCTTTCACGCAGGCAGAGGATGTCGCGCGAGTTTCAAGAAGTATCCCACACGTCCTTTTACGTCAGCTTGGTTGAACAATGCTCTGCCTTTAGTGGATGAGCCCCGAAATCCTAGGTCCCTTGTAGGGTAAACAGATGGCACTGGTAAATCGTTCAAGATTTGGAGCCCTGCCTTTGGCACTCGCATTTGAAGGACCATCAGCGATCCTCAAGGAAAAACGACGGGCTGTCTAACACACACTTCGGGTGCTCCACGCCAAGAGATGCCCTCGTCTCAGCTGCAATAGGCTAACCCCTTGACTACCTGTCCACATGTGCACATCTGACGTGGCTGATTGGCCTAGATCATGTCGACATGTTGTATATAGATGTTATTCATGTAGTGTCTTGCGTTTTGTTTCTTCAGTGTATTTGTGCGAGTCTGACATGCATATGTATGCACGTATGTTTAAACAACAACATGTGGCTATATCTATGCATGTATGTATTTCAGTGCGCACCTAGGTACGTAGTCATGTATGCCGGCACATCCCTGTGCATATCCTATGGGAGAACAAACGCGTTCCTAGACATGCCCGTGTGCTCGCACCCTTCCAGTGTTTGCCATGACGGAAGGAAGAACCTCCGCCAGAGTCCGAGGAGCTGGGATTGCTAAAGCTGTGGCTGGGGGTCGGGGGTACCGTGCACCAAGACCAGATAGATAGGTTGTCGCCACCCCCCAGGTGACATGGCGAAGCATCTTCTTAAGGGTTTTTTTGGGATCTGGCCCAGTGTGTCCGGGTGAAGCATTGTGGACAGTAATCCTTTCCGTGATACCATGCCATTTGCTGCACGCTGTTGTGCCTGGCCACTTTCTACAGCGTGGGCCGGACAGCGTGCCAAAATAAGGGAACCCCCAAAATGCGTGTTTTCTTTTTGGCATGCCTTTAAACCCCCCACACACACACACATTTGTTCAGGCCCTTCACTATCCCAGATTTTACAGGGAATCCAGAAAAGCAGCTACCAATTTTGAGAGTCCACCTGCTTATTTTGAGACAACCTCCAACATGTTCACCTATGCCCCTGGCTTTGAGCACGGCTTGGGCCTTTGGAGGAAGAGCCAGCGGAGCCGGAGATCGTCACAAAGTGCCTCCGCTCCCCTGGTCAACTCTACTATGGCGAATGCAAAGCTCCTTGATCAATTTGCTATCCCGCACCACATGATCACATGGAAGTAACATCAGCTCACCATTAGGCGCTTTACTTTGAAATCCCTTGTTTCAGGTTTTGGCATTGCAAAAATGCAGATGCTCGGTTGACCCGGTACGGTACCCCAAATGCATGCATTCCTGCGAGCAAACTTTGTATTGGACCCTTGTTTGGTGGCGCTCTCGAGGATCTCGGTTTATTCTTCCGGCTCGGCATGGCTTGTTGTTCCTGAGCACCGCAACTGCTGAATTGTCGCTCTTGCCGAGCCTACGCATCCTTGGTCCTTCGATTGGAGTTGGGACCCCCCAAAAAGGCACCTAAAAAAAGAAGAAAACACATGGAAAGTGGAGAAGCCGTCCACAATTGTATTTTTATGAGGACTGCTCCTGCCTTTAGGCTGGTGCCGCCTAACCATTCGCGCAGGCACGTTCGAATATTTGATTCTGCGGGTAGGAGGATAAGAAGATCACTACCCCGCAATCTCAAAGAGTCCGGTACGCCCTTCTAACCGCACAACAGCAGAGTTTGTTTTTGCTATGTATTCGCTTAGTATTCAAGGGGAACTCTCTTTCTGCCGCGGAGGCACCGCGTAGGCAGATCTGACGGGGAAAACGATCACATAGGTACGAGAAAAGTCTGCGGCACGAAGAGTCGGCGCCCTTGCATGGCTTTACACACCCGCGGAGGCTCCTGGTAGGCATGGCTGCCAGTGTATAATCAGAGTCGATATGTCCAACTAAAACTCTACTATCATGTGGTCGGCTACTACTATCTTGCTACATGTGCATGGGATCGCCCCAAATGCAGGGACGTCTTCAAATGGCTTGTTCAACGGTACTTTCCTCTTAAGATGGCCCTAAACTGAGTCTCGATGATCTATTCAATACGGCATGCATACATTTTTTAGAGGTCTGTTCTTGAGAGAACCTCCGAACTGTGGTATCCTTTAACTGTTCTTTGAAGTGAGGGGTACCCTCCAAGCAAGACAAACTCGGACATTATACATATATATATATATACATATATATAATATGGGTGTATATATATATTATTAATATATATGTATAGATGGTTGTGTATTTTGTTCACGGTACCTTTTCGGGCTTATGTTGAAGGAAACCGAAAGGTATCCCGCTACTTTTGGGGGGTCCCCTATTTTATGACACACTTATGTATATATATATATATATTACGTGTATTTATATACATCGCATATGTTGCCAATCCAAGGCTGGCTTCAAGGAGCGCGCCGGCCGGTGGATCCGCCATGGCAAGGGACAGCAGGCCGCGGAAGTTGAAACCTGGGGTGAGCCCCGCCTTCTTCGGCTCCTTGTGAGACTTAAACTTTGGGCAGGGGGAATGCCCCAAACATCTACAAGCACACATGCATGTGTGTCTTGTTGCGAGCAACGACTTCACATCGATGGAGTCAACTTCGTACTGGGACGAGACGGACTGAGGTGGTCTCGGCTTGCACCCCTGCCGGCTCCAACCGCTTCGAAACGCTGATCCTGTCCAGCTACGAAGGCTCGCTGAAACGCTGATCCGAGGCAACCATGTGTGACTGCACTCCAAATGGTTGGATGGTGTCCTTCGGTCATTGGCAAGTGAGCAAACAAGGCACCAATGGGACACGGTGCACATGGAAGGGACTGTCACTGGCCAGGGGGAGCAATCCAAGGCCTGTTGTTCTGTTGTTGGAGCGGAGAACCACATTGAAACAGTTGGAGTGCAGTTGGAATGGAGGCCTTAGTAAACCCTATTTGATATCCAAGAAGACATGTTGGTTGAGTCTTTGGACAATCAGCATCGATTGGCGCAGCTGCTACAAGTCCAACCAGCATGTGTGTTCACTGCTATATACTCAGGAAAACGTCTTTGTAGCTGTCATTGGTTGCGTTACAGTCCAGATCACAGCAAAGCACCTTGACTTCACATTGCATATTGAGTCACATGATGTATCTCTTGGCAGGCCCCTGCAGTATTCTCTAGGCAGATTCATGCAGTTTCTGGTTAAGTGATCATTGCATGATGTCAGCAAAGTATGCCAGTTGCAGTATTTTGCTGAGCGCAGGTTTCAACGCATACACTTGCCGTATGTGTGCAATATTGTTTAGCAGAGCTTCCTTTTTAGTTGGAGAGTTGGTGAAGGCCAGTCACTGGCTCACTGTCCAATTCCCGATCCACATGGTCAATCATCGGTGGAAGATCTGGGTGTTGTTGCCAAAATCCATGCAGCTTGCTGAAGTAAGCACTGAATCGTAAGTGAGTCGGCGGTTTGCGGGTTGTGGTTGTTTCAAGCTTGACTGTGATGGTTCATATGATTCTTCTCCCAGAGGAAATCCCCTGCGAGTGGTGCAGTGATTGTGCACTCTCACAACCAGCATGGGACTTGACTGTACCTGAAAGGAACATGGAGTTCCAAGAGGGCTATATTCAGGGCTCAAGTTTGGCCACAAAATGCCCACGAGACTTTCCTGCCTTGCCCAGTGGGTAACTTCGCACAAGTGGTTTTATGAGAGAACTGCCGCCATGGCAGAACGTGAGGGTTCTGCTAGTGAAGTGGGCAGCCCATGCTCGCCATGTCCGCGGGATTTGGTTCAATCCCTGCAGGCTCCTGGGAGGAGGATCAACAATGCGGCGAGGGCAGCTACAAATGGAGCTGTGTGGGAAAGAATGAAAGGGAAGCTGTCGGTTGCCATCCTTGGCCTTTGGAATCCTTTAGACTGTTGGAGTGTCAATTCGGCTTCACTTTGTTCACACTTGGATGTTGTTCTTAGTGCTGCTCAAATCAACGGGCAACTGGCAAATGTGCCGAGCCCCTGCATACGAATGACTACACAAGATCTCTCAGAATGCCATTATGTTGCTTTCATGACTGGCAAAAGATGTTGGTCCAGATTGCATCTGTGGCTTGATCAAGACACCTTGACTTCAAGTAACAAATGACGCAAGCATTTGTCGCAGTGCTCGAAGGCAAGTACCCCTTTGGGCTTATTCTGAAGTGCGATGTGCCCGCCTCGTCATTTTTGAAATCGAGGAGTGATGGCAGCTCCTACGAGGGCAACATGGAGCAGGGCAAGATGCATGGCCAGGGTCGCTTTGTGCCTTGGACGCAGTCTTGAGCACAGCCTTTGGAATGCAAATGAGCCACAATCAAAAACCGGGTAGATGGAGGTTAGTAAGGGATACTCCCAGCCATAAATAGCTGCTCCGCCTTCTTAATTATTTGCATGGTTCTGGGTAGACCATTTTAATACCGGGTTTTGATTCTAACTCAAATGTCATTAAATGTCCCTATGTCGGTTTGTCTCTTCACAATGGGCGGTTTCCTTTCGGTTTTCCTGCCAACCCCAACCAGGGTCCCCCGAAGCAAATACGTGTCCTCTTTTTCTTAGTTTCAAACATCACTTTTTGCGCCGTCTCTTTTAGAGACATAGCAAAAGTGTGGAGTTTTACTCGCATGTTCGACCACCCTCATATTGTATATGATACACAAACGTAGATTCTCAGGCTTGAAGCCCTCAAAGGTGGCCTCAATCCAATCCTAAAGACCCAGAGGCGCTTGCCGAGTTGAAAGGTGCCCTGCTTGCTGAGATTGTAGTCAGGGGAGAAGTCCTAAAGGGTGGCCCTTTTTTCCGAAGGGGCCAGAGTGGGACAGTCCCACACATTCCTTGCCCAAAGGAATGTTTTCCAGTGTTGGCGTTTTCCGTAGATTGGAAAGTCGAGGTGTGAGCGGTCAACCTTTGCCCTACAAGGCGGGCTTTTCCAGGACTTGAGCACTATTCCCTCAACCAGGACCTCCAGTCTCCAGTGCCCCTTCGTCCTTTTCCCTCGATGTCTGCCTTTCAATTCAACTCCCAAAATGCTGATTGTGTGCCCTCGGCTTTTTTTCCCCCGGGGAAAAAAGTCAAGATCCGGCGGCCTTTTTTTCGAGGTCTGGCCGGATGGCAGCAGCTACGAGGGCAGCTGGTGCTCCGGCGCCCTGCATGGCCAGGGCCGCTTCGACTCCCGCTTCGACGGGGGGCGCTACATGCAAGGCGCGCGCTTGGAACCTTTGAGACCGAGCCGAAAAGCGGCCGACGCGGTGAGGCGGTCCCGGTTTCGCCCCTTTTGGGTTTGTTTGGTTTTGAGGGTACCCGTTTGGAAGGGGGGGCTCAACAGCAACTAGAAGGAAACCAGTAATTGTTTGGTGTTTCCTTACAAAAGAGCCTCCCTTTTGATTGTTATGACCTGCTTCAGATGACGTTTCTCACCCTGAACAATGAACAATCACTCAGCATGATAATCTGCAGTTGCAGGCAAAGGCCAACTGTACTTGTGGTGATATGCCGGCTCTTTGTTACATACTAGACTGCAAGAACATGCGCGCTTAATGGGCCCTGTTTCGCTCTGGGGCGGGAAAAGGCAAAAGGCGCCTATTGAAGCATGTGTTTTTGCGTATTCAGGATGTTGATTTGGATTGGTCAAAGTCAATCCTTAATTCGGTTTTCCTTGTTGCGTGGCGTCACACTACGGATTGTGGATTATATAGTATTCCCTAAACAGAGACTTGCTGGTTACCAATTATGGAGGCAACTGGGATCCTCTGGATTAGGAATGACTAGTATTCTGTTAGGCGCTAGAGAAGCCATTATGATGAATTTACATCATGTGTAATGGATTATTCTTCCCTGGTGGACTGCGCGCCATGTTTAAGGACCCCTTTTGGTCCATAGGCCAGTTCCACTTCAACTGCTTCCAGAAGTCGGACGGCCGATGGGTGGACATCTTGCAGCACATGAAGAACCATGAGCTGCGGGAGAATCTGGGAGAAGAATGCTTCAAGTGGACGTGCGAGTTTAATTGACTTTAAGGTTTCCTTGCCCAGGTGTCTCGTCAACCCCTTTCAATGGCCCTCGTTGAGAGAAAGTCAAGGCAGAATTGCGAGCACCGAAGCCTACCACACAAAGCTCCTTTGACAGGGTGCTTTGGGCTTCATGCCGACAGGGTGCAATGGGTTTCTGGCCGAGGATCCTGGAAGGCAATCCCCTCCGCTTCGAGGCCGAGGCAGCTGCGGCGCGCCCAAAGACCAAGAACAAAGGCGGGCTCTGGGGTCAATTTGCCATGGTTTTGGTTGAAATCGCCATTTAGAAAATGGTTTATAGTGTACCTGTCAAGACTACACAGAAGCAGCTTTCTGGCAGATTGCTTTGTTCATTTCAAGTCTAAGTTTATGGGTTATGCTTTGAGGTTCGTTTTGCATGGGAGCCCATCTCAGCACATCTCATGATAATCTCACATCCAGAATACGGTAGTGATGACCAAAGCAAAGGGTATGGCACACAGGCTTCGCTCTAGGTCAGGCTTTGTGTTTTAGGATGCAGCTTGCCAGCGGCTTGCGAGTGTTTGTTTGTTTCCAGACTTCTTGTCGGTGTCGAGGGTACTCAATTATTAATCGCCAGAACAGAATGCAGTTGTCAGTCATGTTTGGAGTTGAGGGACGCCAAATTGGCAGCGCCTCGATGTCATTTTCAGCTGTGGGCTTGGGGGCAGAGTTGCCATGACTTGGTTCGATCTTCATTACTCGCTCAGAACTGTTTCCATTTGAACGAAGGACAGTCTTGAGTCTTGCCGATATTTCCTCTGCCGGTGCTTTTCGACATGTTTGAACCGAGTTTCGTTTTCATCGACTCGCCATTCCGATGGCAATGGTTTTGGCAACCGGGTGTGTCTTTTTTCGTGGGTGCTCCGTTTTTGATGATTTGCAAAAATAGCAGGAGGTCCCCTAAAAAGACCATGTGATTTGTTTGTTTTATGTGTTCTTAGGAGGGAAAAAAAGCCAAAAAGCTTACCCAGCCAAAGGAAAATCATCATAAACCACCATTATAGACTTTTGTGTTTTATTTTTGTAGGAGGGAAAAGCCACAAGGTGACCCACCAAAGTAAGTGAGTCTCCCCTTGCGATTCGCCGGTCTCGCCAGGCTCCGCCGCTGGATCTTCGGCCCAGGTGCTGCGCAGCTCGCCCGAGAAGCTGGGTGCTCGCGTGCGCGAGGCCGGATGGCCGGGGGCCGGGGGCTGGGAGAAAGGCGACCAGGTGGGTGGCTCCAAAGATGCAGTTGCTTGATTGTGGTCTGAAAAGGGAACTAATAAGAACTAATAAGAGATTCAGATTGGGGACCCCTGCTTTGTTTCAGAAGTGTTTCAGGTAACTGACAAGACACACATTGCAGATCTTGTTCAGTCGTGGTTTTGAGGGAACACCAGGACAACCAACAGTTTTGAGACTCTCCTTTGGAGACTCCTATGCAAGTGCTGAGATTGCTCCATGACTTGTGAAGGGTGTGGGGTGAGGGTGCAGGCACCACTGTCAGTTCTGGATAATGCGGCCGCGCCGGCGGTGTGCACGCGCGTTCAAGCGTGCATGCATGCTTGACTTGCTTTCTTATATGTTTGTTTGTTTGTTTTTGCTTGGGCGCTTTGAGTTCGTTTGGTTTGGTTGCGTCTCGGTTGTTTCTTTACTTATTTATATATTTATGTATTGGTTTATTAATTTCCTCCTTTCTTGCTTTCTTCTCTTCCTTTCTTCCTTTCTTCTGTTTGTTAGCTTGCTTGGTTGCTTGCTTGGCTGCTTGGTTTCTTAGTTGCTTGGTTGGGTGCTTTGTACCTGCTTATGTTTGTGTGTGTGTGTTCGCGAATATTCTGGTGTTGGACTTTCTGTACCGAGTTTCTCGCCCAGTTCTTGGGCCCAGGTTCAAACAATGCAGCTAGGTTGGGGGTATTCGATCTGGAGCCTGTCGATTTCATTGGCCACTCTGATGTGAAATAGCATGTGTCAGCTACGGTTTGGGACTTTGAACTTTGGAACTCATGACTGTCCAAAGGCAGTATCATGCTGGCTCGCTTTTGAAACAGGGGCTTAGGATTGACCAGTCCCACATTGGGTCAGCTGATATGCAGTCACCTTGAAATGTGTTGGGACGGTTTGTGTTGTTTGGTTCTTCCTTGCATTTCTTCTTCTTTACAGAAGTGTTAGTGTTTGTAAGATTGCTTTGTTCAATCATTTGGTCGTCTCCCATAGTCACTTGAGTTCCGGATGGGTGAGTCTTAGTATTTGTGTTCAGACTTTCCTCATGGACAGTTTCGGCTTTTCTTTGTTATTTTGCGATTTTTTCTAGAACACCAGTGCGCACTGTAGGCAGATATCAGCTGATCCCAAAAGTGAGAAATGCAGCGTCAGGCAAAGCTACCAAATATGTATACAAGCCAACACCAAGAAGCCATCAGAGGCTCAGAGGTGAGAGTGTTAGCGACGGTCGCTTTGACTGGCATGGCAAGTCGCGGGCATGTATAAAGCTTTTGGCTGCTCGTCGTCCAGAGTCCCGGTGAGAGCTGTGTTAAGTCACAAAAAAATTAGTAACATCCAAAGGTACACTCATTTTGAATCGAACTGTTTGTAGAGGCCCTTGGGGCCCACCCCGTTTCCTGCAAAGACTAGTATTCCCTAAAAATGGGCCAGGCAAAGCAACAGAGCCTGAGGCGTTGCACAGCAACCTGGTCCCCTTTGTGCTCGCGGAGGATGGCACCCGCGAATTCGGGCTTTTTTGGTTTCGCCGAGTTTGCCTAGACTGTAAGGGGAGCAAATGTTCAAACCCCATAGACCTATAGTGTGTGTGTGTGTGTGTTTGTTTTCCAGTGTTTCCGTTTCTTTCTGAAGGGAGAGTACAGAAACCGAAGCCCGTGAATGGGTTTACGTGGACTAGTTGCTGTCGTGTCAGAGTTGTCCACACCATGCATCCAAGCACGGGACGGGCATGTCCGATTCATACTCAACCACTCCCTGTCAACAGCAGCTTTCTCAGTTGAATTTCAACATGTTCCAGCAGCCTCTTGTTTCGACTCTTCTGGTTTTTCTACTCCGAAGCAGTCCTTATCCTCCTGTGGCACGTTAAAGTGGGGCTTGCCCTGGTCGGCTCGCATGCTTGCAATCCTTCAGTCAAGCGAAGCTCAAAGAAATTGTTCCTCAACAGCAGGTCCCAAACGAAGCAATGGCTACTTTGAGGCTTCGAATCAGGCAGCGCACAGGGCCCCCCTCCACTGTCCAGGTGGCACAAGACTTGTTGCGGCGGCTTCAAAGAACATGCCCGCACGGACACTTCCCGCAATTACTTGTGTGATACTGAAGAGGACCATGAATATGGCTTGAAACGGTTGGGCCGCGCAATGGCAACACGGTCACAATGAGGCATAGTAAAATTGTATTTGTGCAGCTGGTGGCGGGCTGCAAGGAGCAGCATGTGTTGAATCAGTCTATGTCTGTTGATGATTCTTGATGTGCCTGGGGATAGATCGATGAGTATTCAAAGTTCCCGACGTTTCCGCTGAATAATTTTGGGCTGATCGAGGTGTTTTTCAAAAACAGCGTTCCAAGCGTGGATTGCTTCTTGTTGCGGGCTGTTGTTGAAATGGCATTGCCATGTTCAGCGTGTTTGAATTTGAATCAAAGCCTGGATCTGCCATAAGAGGACATTGACATGCATTTCCACACCACCGCTGTAAACTCGGAAGCTGCCGGGGCTTGTGCCTGGGCAGTCCAGCACGGCATCCCTAACATGGATGCTGTGCATAATATGGAGGACATTGGAGGACTGAGTGGGTGTGTCTCAAACTTAGGTCTTCCTCCAACTGGATGAATGGTGCCGTGTTAAAACCATCCAACAGCAACGGGGTTGTCAATTGAGACATCTCCACATCTCAAGCTATCAATCATTTCCATGTGATCGGCTGTCGCTTAACAATCATCTCCTGCCTAGAAACATGGCTGGCGGAGGAGTCTGCTGCGACTCATGCGCTTGAAAGCCTTCTAGCATCAGGCAGGAGCAGGGCTTGGCATATTTACACATGGTGAGTCAACCCGTGGCGACCATCGGGCACCTCTTATCCTTTCTCAGCCACACGATTGGCTACAGGGTCGGACCGCAGGCCAAGGTTGTGTCGGTCTAAGAGCTTACTTCATCTGTTCAAGTCAGTTTGTAGCAGAAGGTTGAGGTGTGTGTCTGTTTTTGTTTGCCCAGCCAAGTGTCCAAAGAGCAAAAGCAGTCGCCTCTTGCAACATTGTGAATTCAAATCCGCAGAAAGCTGCTGCAGAATACACTGACCGATAGCAGGAATGGCTTGTGAAAGATGCAATGCTTGTTGTCATACGTGCTGACCCCCAACGTGTTCACAGGCATGTTTCCCAGAATCCAGACATGCTTTAGGCCCGGACCCAAAAGGTTTATCGGTCCATGCCTCTTGGACAAATTATTGATGTCAGTTGCTTGTATAAAGTGTGGGCTCCTGCACACGGAACCCTACATTCCTGCCAACAGCTTGGAGTGGCGAAGTGGGCATGGACCTTTGTTCTGGCAAGAGCCGGTTGCACTTTGCAATGTGTGAGCTGGGAAATAGTTTGTGGCAGGGAGCGCACACGCAATGTAGGTGACAGTGCAAAACCTACATGTTACCTACACATGTTTTGATTGCAGTAGCTCTTTCCCAGGTAAGATAATTGTCAGCCAGCAGCACGATCAATGTGCTGCCATGAGCGGAAGTGGAAATGTGACACAAGCAGGGACAGCTTCTAATGCTTGATGTGGTGCTGGTTTGGTTTCAATATACACCAAACATGTGTTTTGGGCTAGTGGTTTACCATTGATTCCTACTCGTACACAGGCTGCCATAGTTTTGCCTAGTTCTGTGGTGCCTTTGCCAGCGCCAGCAGCACGGAGAAAGCAGATGTGCCCGCAGTTTGCTTCGCAGCACAGATACTTTTGCGGATGGCTGCATTCTTGCACAAATTCCCGGTTAGATGCAAGCATACCCAGGTGCTGGCTGATGTTCCCAAAGGGAGCGGAATTCCTCAATTTAACTCTACCTTGACCTTTCAGGGTGAGAAATATAAGCTGGGCAAGGATGGGCTTTACCAACCAGTTCTTTGCATTTCCTTGGGAGAACGAAAGGGACACGTTTCAGGAAACAAGCCACCACTTTTAGGGTCTGGGATTTGTTCCAACTCGTTTGGGTCAAAACCAATGGCACCACCTTGGGGTAGGTGCACCACCCAGTTTAGTCTATTTTAGTGGGGATTGGGATGTTCACTGGGGGTGCGGGCTTTTGACCCATGGCCATTTCAGGCGTCACGGAAGCGGGCCAGTGCATCTCCTTGCGTCTAGCGGCGCTCGAGCAGCGCCGGCAGCGCGCCTCTTGGTGAGATGGTGTGAGGTGTCAAGGGAAACGGCTTTTGTTGGTTTGTTGGTTTGAAACTTCCTTTCTCAAAAACCTAGAACACTGACGTGGGAGTGCTAACTAAACCCTAAACCCTCAACCCTAAACCCTAAAACTCCCAAACCCTATCGAGGGTAATTACTCACACCTGGAACCAGGAGCCCGTGAGCCTCAAGCCTGCAGATTGAGATGATCGGGGGTGCTCTTGCTGGTGTGTGCTACCACGGCTTCACTTCAGGCTTAGAATTGGAGTCCCCGCACTTTGAACATCCCAGTGCAGGTAGGTACCTGATTATAATTCTCCGACATTGGCTGGAAGGACTCGAGCTTCGGATGGTGTTGAAATGGAGCCCACGGCAAGCCAATGATTGTATCATGTACCTCAGGTGCCAAAAGCTGTGAGCTGACACTTTGACCTCTTGTTTTCCCATGGCCTTCTTTCGCCACCCTTCAACGATAAAAGACGCATGTTGGCTCCAGGTTCTTTGGGCAAGTGAATTCCTCTATTTGAAGAAACTGCTAGTATCCAGGTGTAAGTGGTGTGTGTTGTTTGTCCAGTAAAGCACTTGCTATTCCCCATTGACCATGAAACAAAGAAGTAAAGGAGTTTGTCTTCCAACAGTGGTCAAGTGAGATTTGGGTTGGCTTCACCAGGTTCGCTGGTTCTTGCTTGTCGGCCCGAACCGTCTTGTTTACGTGTTGGTCCGTTGCCTTGCGTACGCATGAATGTGCATTTGGACATGTGGTGCCATGAGCGCATACACATGGACAAGATGCTTCTACCAATGTGCGGTGTCAACGTTATGAGCCTTCATATAGCCCAGGATGTGTGTTGTTGCTTGACCTCAGGCCGTGCACTGGGGTTGTTGCCATTGTTAAACGTCGGATTCACGTGTTCAATACATTAGTTTCTATTACAGCATCCAGTAGTCTACTCACGAAAATTCCAGCAACATCCTGGGTTATTTGTGTCCATGTGCATTGGGGTACCGGTAGCAGCATACTTTCACCATGGGAATGTCTTTGTCTTCCATTGGCAATTGGCACACTCCACAGCTCTCCTGGAAGCTGTTTGGGGAGCTGAAAGCCGATTGCAAAATTGTGGCGCCCCGTTCAACGGGAAGCCTGTGCGCCACAGCCATGTTTTACCGTGGCATTGCGGACCTTCTCTCAATCACTTCTCATTCGGTGCGAGATTGCATGAACGCTTATTCGGCGCTATATGACGCAAACCGCCATCAGAAACAAAAGCGATAGCACACAATAGGGCAAAACTGCATGTCAAATATGAACCTCAATTGAATTCACACAGATCTGCAGACCATCAGACGTTGGCCTGCGCCTCCTACGCTTGGTCGCTCTTCAGTACCACCTTGAACCTGTTACAGTAACATGTTTGACAAAAATCAGAAAAGGCAAGTGGTTCCCCGCCAACTAGTCAAATGTGTTCTTTTGGCAGAGCGTCAGTCAAGGGACCAGCCCGATCTGAGGACTTCAAGCGATTCTTCCGAACCGCGCTGGAGTCGTCCATCCTGTCGGGGAGCTGTTTCGCGTGACTTGGCAGGGCGAGGAAGGTTTATGTCAACTTTGATTGAAAGAGCTGACCATGATGTAGATCCGTTTCCTTATTTGATAGGTATATTCCTCCGGAAACGTCCGGAATGGACATCATTGTTTGCATGCAGTGCAGGATGTAGAGCCTGATTTCTGAGCTGTGTTGCTTGTCTGAGAGTTTATGAGCATATGAGCGGAGCCAAATGTTGATGTGCAAAGACAAATATGTATGGAACATGTGATGATCAACTGTCCTTGGCGCTCCTTGTAGCGGGTGTTTGATTGAAGAATGCAACACTAGCTTGCCTTCTGGCAACAAAGTCTGTCCTGTCAGCTGCTAGATATTGCATCGCAGGACTTGGCGTACACGGAAGGGGCGCTTGTTGGGTTTCTAGAAAATTACTTGCCCAATCGGGGATCCGATTCAGAGACATAGAGTCAAGGGCTTTGACCAATGCGGTCTAGTGGAATGTAGCTAGCTTAGGTTGCACCTCACTGGAGCGATGTGTTGCCCATAGTTTCCATTATAGGGCGTTTGGGCTTTGTCGACCTACTTGTACCCAGTTTACGGCACAAGTCACACTGCAACTTCATGAATGATGCCACGTGTTTGCTTCATTTTTAAGTGTGACGTTTCAGGGGCTCGTCAAGTTGCACCCGTTTTCTTAGGACTTAGAATCGGCTCATGTTGCTTCTAGCCTGCAATCCATTGATGGCTTGATCATGTTGACGTGTTTGCCGGGCAATTGCCTAAACCCGCCTAAGATATGTCTAACGCAGGTGTTGAGGTGTTGCCAGAGTGTGTATTTGTCTACTGACCCTACAGTGAGTGCGACATTTACCGTTATTGGCAAAAGGCCATACCAAACACATGCCTGTCATTGGTGAGGTTGATGGTCCTGGTTCAACTGGGAGCTTATCGAAGCCTTCTAATAGTTGGGATCGTGATTGATTGGCGCACTGACTCAGTTCTTGGGCTCAAACGCCTCCAACATGTGCTGATGGGCAAGCACCGTCCATTCAGCCGGCCGGAGCAAATCAAACAGACTGACTTCTTCTTTTCTTTTGGGCGCGGGGATGGGCGGGGAGGCTTTCTCGCACCTGGATACGCAGACGTTATGCCGGCCAGTTCGATGCCTTTCCCGGGCAATTCACATCAGTTCTATGTATCTCGGTCGCCTCCAAAGACTTCCGGACCTTCGGCGGCCTTGCAGACCTCGGGAGGGTTTGAGGTCGTGTATGAGTACATTGATGTTCAGCAGTTGAGAACATGGTTGTGGGTCAAAACCAATGGCACCATTTTGGGCTAGGTGCACCACCCATTTTAGTCTGTTTTAGTGGGGATTGGGATGTTCACTGGGGGTGCCGGCTTTTGACCCATGGCCACCTGGTCAGTTCGGACCATGGTCTTCTGGTGATCTGATTTTGGCCGCGCAGCGCACCTGAGGCTGGTCTTCGAGGACGACACGGGCGTGGGAGAGGAGGACTGGCTGCAGCGGAAGCCAGAGAAGGAGCCCATGGAGGCGAGCTGCGACGTTTTTGGATGTGGGGAGTCCCCTGACAAGTGGTGCTTGGTGCTTAGTGGTTTTTGTAGTGGGTGGTTAGAGGGTGGTTGGTGGGCAGCTGAGCCGCCACTACCCAAGGCTTACAGGCAACTGCTTGTCCTGTACTGGTGTCTTAGCCACCACAGGCGCCCTTTTCAATCGAGCAGCGATAGTGGTCGCTGCAGTGCGAGGTTAGTGCTCTTCTCGTGGTTAGGTGTTGGCTAGTTGGGGTTAGTGGGTGGTGTGTGGGTGATTAGTTGTTCGTGGGTGGCTAGCGGGTGATGATTAGTGGTTAGTTGTTGCAAAGCAGGGGGTTAGCGGAGTGGTTGGTTAATTAGTAGATATTAGTAGGTGGTTTGTGGCTAGTGGTTGTTTGGTTTGTGGTTGGTCGTTGGGGGGGTGATGGATTCGGAGGACGAGGTCGTGATTCCACAAGAGCTGTTCGGTTTCTTTCGGCGTCCCTTCAAAATGCTGCGAATGGCGGGACGGGCGTGACCTTTTTCTTTTCTTCTTTTTTTTTGCGGGGGGGCAACCTCTGTGCAGGACACTCCTTCATGCGGCATGAACGAGTGTGTGTCCCCATCACAAGTCAGCCAGTTGGCTCCTTGCGCAACTTGCGCCAAATGGCGAGGAATCCATGGGATGTGCCTTACTGGCTTTACTGCAATACCTAGCTTGGATTCCCGTCCCAACTGTTAAATGAGATATTGTCACTTTTGAAGGGACTCCCTTGTCCCAGCCGGAGCATGAGGTATCCCAAAGCAAGTCATTCCCCTTATATATATATATATTATATAACGAGTTTCCTTTGAATTATTTTCTAGACCACCCCTCAAAGCCCGAAAGAGAAAAGATTACTTTGAGTGTCCTGCTGCACACAATAGGGGGTCGCCCCGCAACATAAAGGGTGTTCCCACACCGCTTCGATGTTGAGGGAAGCCAACAGGACGCTGAAAAGCTTGTTGAGAGGGACGCCAATGCCCTAAAAACCCACCCTCAACAAGGGAATTTCGAGTACTTTGTGTTGGGCAGAGAGAGGGGGGACAAATCGTTTGCCCCAATTAGGTCAAAACATGGCGCAGCTGACCCTATCAATTTCAATTGCTTGCACAGGTGCTTTGCAACAGGAGATTGCTTGGCTTCCCAAGTGCTGCGCTCTCGTGCGTCATGATGAGAGAGCGGTTGGCCTGGCTTGGTCCCTGGCAAAGACGTTGACGATAGTTTGTTGCTGATTTTGACATCTGCAATCGGTGGCCCCGTTCTTTCTGAATTTCAGGCGCAGGATGCTGGACTTCGTTGGTGGGGCCGGATGTAGTTGGGTTTTGCTGCATGAGCCCTGTTGGAAGGAGCAGTTAACTGGCGATAGCCCACCTGAACTCCGACTTGCAACCTAGGCAAGTGGGTTAAAATCATGGTTTGCTGGTGGCGTACATACACAAGCCCCTTAGAGAGGCTGGCCCTGCGAGGGAAGCTTGTGCCAAGGGTTTGGGAGGGGTTGCGGGTGGGACCGTTCAACTTAATTTTGCTGACATTCAGTCGCCCGAAGACAAACAGCTGCGATTCCGTGAGGTGTTGACAACAGAAACCGTGGGAATGTGCGGCAGTCGTGCGGGTTTTGGCTCCCTGCAGGCCATCCCCGATGAGTGGGGCCTCCCTTGCTTCTTCAGTAGCAGCTTGTCTCAGGGCGGAGTGGCGGGTCATTGAAGCCAGCGCATTTTACCTTCTGAAACCCTGTGTAAACACGATCAGTTCTCGGGCGCCATGACGCTGTTGAGGTTAAACACAAACTATGGGATGTTCAGCATCGGAGAGGGCAGGTCTTCGTTGTGTTTTTTCCAAGCCATGATCTGATTTGTCCATTAAAGGAATAACCTCCATGTACCTGTTTAGTAATTATAGCCAAAGTTTGCTATGATGCTCAGTTAATTTTGGCGGTGGGTTACCTCAGTCCTGGTGATATGAAGTTAATGCTTGTTGGGTTGGACTTGCCTTTTCTCTTCACAGCCAACTCACCGTGATACACATCGCCATGCTGCGGGTCACAATGCGGGGCAAGGTAAGGGAGGAGCACACCATCCGGGGCATCAACAACAAACATGTTTTGATCAGCCTTCAGTTGCTAATGCGTTGTGTTCAAACATGTTATTTTTGAGGGTACCCTCGTTTGTGTCAAGAGGAAAGCCTACGGACACAGCACATTTCTGATTCTGGGAGTTGCAGACAGAGACGTGCGACCAGCTTGTTCTGAGGTTCTGCTCTACCTCCGGAGATTTTCGCGCCCCTGACCTTCAATGCCCGGGGCAAGGTGCGAACCAAGGGCGATCTGGGCAAGATGGCGATCTTGAGGGAGAAGTGGAGGGGACTGAAGCGAACGTCCATGGAAGCGTTGGGTCGGGTCTGGTGGTGACGGTGGTGGCTTTCTGGCCACCCTCCCACTTCACAAAATGCCGAGACCTTGGACTTGTTGAGTTCTATTTTGGCCGATTTTGGTCATGGACTCCCCCACAAGGTGAGCTTTGCTTTTCCGCCAGGGCCTTTACATGCGACCCCGCCAGAAGACGTCATACACAGTCTGGGTTTTGGGAATTGGGCTTTGCTGCTTCAACGTTCCTTCAGTAGCTGACGTGTAGCTGCACGATGTGAAAACAACTATGCAACGGCCAGGGGTGGCCCTAAACGGCGCATGGCTAGCTGTGCAGAACTCATTGGCAACTGATAGATTACCATGGAGTAGTCCCAAAAATGATGCTGAAATACTGCGCCTTTGAAAAGACATGCCCTTTGAGCACAAGGCAACGCACATTTGCGGAGGTGTTTCGACTTTCAGATGTTTGACAAACCATTCACACCATGGATTAGCGGCAGGCCTTTGAGTTCGTGGGTGGAGAGCGGACACACATGACAACTTATGACATGCTTTGCAACTTGTGACGACGCAGCACTGGAGACCCACATCTCAAAGCCGCATGGCTTTCGATGTTGTCGTGTTTGAAGAGTGAAGGCTTCTTGAGCACAGGTTGATGGCATGGATTTGATGGTCTCTTTTTACTGCGGAGAAGTCTGCCACGGCAGGCTCGATTACTGCTCCCGGATGGTTCGGACAACGGTGACGTGGCAGAGATGGCCTTGGTGTCCACTCAAAAGTACAGCAGTGCTTGGCACGATTCATCTTTTGTTCTCTGTCTACCGAAATGGAATCTGACTGCAAGGTCCTTTTCAGGAAAACAATGAAATGGGTATGTGTCAAATCAGGGAAAACGGTGGCTTTTTGGGTTTCCTAGCCTTGAAACCAACGTCGAAAAGAGTCCTCCACGACACACAGACCCAACTGTTCAAGTACCATGCCAAGCTGCAAACATAGTTGAAGAGTGGAGTGCCCTTGAAGGAAGCTCAAGGTGTTCGCCTCGATAGACTTGGTGACGAATGGATCAGCGGGAAGCAAGGCCAAGTAATCTTCTTCGTGAAGTGTTCTTGCCTGGGATTCCCTTACTTGAGCTGAGTGCATGGCAACCATGAGTGTCCTTTTGGGTAGGTTTCGTTGAAATAGATCGGATCTGCTGCTTTCCAGCCATAGTGCCATCTAGAATTTCAACAGAACACATAGGCCCTAGGTACCACGCTACAGACTGTGGTGCTGATTCAAGAATAGCATGGCATGATGTGCGGCAAGGAGATGTTCCGTGGAGGTTTGAGGAGATGACTGCGCACTTTGATTTGCTTTGGAGGTAGCGTGCTACATTTCGCACGCTGGAAAGCTGTCAATGTGTCAGAAATATTATCCCTACAACCGCTACGCACCTGCACGACACTCCGAACCCTCTGAGAGTGCTTTCGTACGCCTTGGTCGCAGGCTCTTGATTTGTTTGCAAAGAATGTGTCAAATAGCGACGCTGCATTTACGGACCATATAAACTGGGCAGGGGATCGATGTGTCCACCTGTGTCAAGTTTTAGAATATTGCTACCGGACATCAGGTTTGCATGACCAAAGCGAGATTCTACGAGCCTTTCGATTGACTCCGACCTCAGGGCCGGTGTTTAACACGTGGCTTTGACTGTTTGACTTTCCCTTGGATGCCCTGAACAAGGCTTTGAATTTACCCTGATTTGTTGAATGCCAGATTTGACGGTCGTGACCTGAGGGCAGAATATGCGTGACTCTCCAGACATCCTTGTTTGCTCGATGTATACATAAAATGCTTGTGATGCAGTAGGTAAGCCTTTCCCGTTGTCATATTGCTAGTACTGCCAATGAACGTCGGTGTGAGCTTCAATGTGCAATTATTCTGGCACGCGCTTCAGGATGCTTCAGGTATTCGCAGGGCAGCAGGCTTTGCATGTTGTACGGTATGTCTGTGCTAAATGTGTTTGTGTGGTGCAGTTTGTCCGTTGTGCTATGACTCCTGGCCATGCTGCCATCAACAATGAGGGCAACATCACATCGGTTCTCTACAATTCAGCGAATGTGTGTTCTCGTAAATGTACACTCCATGCATGGGCATTGTTCGGTTGCAGCGTGAATACAACAGTACAATAATTGGGCAGCGTGTGTTTTTCTCTTTTTTTCCTCTGGAATCAAGGGTTTATGCAAAAAGGGAACTGCATCATGTTCGCGTAGGCACCCCTTACAGTCGTAGGTCGCGGAGGCTTTGCGTAGGCACTCTCGTAGGCGTGTGTGCAGGGTATAGGCCCCGAGCACCAAAAAAAATCACTGCCGAATTGGCTTTTATACTTGTGTTGGTTAATTCATGGGTTCACGCATTCGTTCATTTATTCATTCCTTCAGTCACTCACCTACCCACCCAGAATGTCATGGAGTGTCAATTCACATCTCTTAATGTACTTTCATGTTATGTCATGTCACACATTTCATATCAAACATAGTTTCAGCTATTTAATGTTCTGCTTGTGTTGTTCAGGAAGTGTTTAATTAATTCATGCCCTATCCCACTACACCTACGTCCCAACTCTTGTTGTGTATACAGAGCACACAACACTTATGTAACTTGTGTGTGTGTGTGTGTGTGCGTAGGAGATGCTCAACTAGCATGAGACAGACGCAAGGCTTAATACGTGCACGTCTCAAATATATTATGTTATTGCGTACAAACGTACGGTATGCGGTAAATGCATGTATTCAAATACTTTGATCAAGAATGGCTGCATCGACGCAAACAGTTTATCCGATGTTTTTCAGCCTTTCAAAGAGAGAGGGAGCACTGAACTCCGATGCATAGCCCAGGTGTGCCGGAGACTGCGCCGGAAGGGGATGCAGATGAGTCACACGCGCAGCCAAAGGTGTCACAGGAGACGCTTCCGATCAACCACCCATGATGAGGTTCCTCTTGTTGGCATCCCTTTTTGGTGGTTGGTGAATTTGTACTATCTGTCCGGGTAAATGCACAAGGCTCGATGCTCCGTTGTCAACTGCTTTGAGCAAGATGAGCAAACAGTCAAACACATCAACATGGGATGGAAGGTTTTGCTTTCGGAGACGACAAACATGACACTAGCAGTATGTGTGTACTCTTGTTGCATTGACGATTCGCCCGCGCTTTGCAAATGTGATCCTAGGAAGAGCCGCACTCCGGATTGTGGAGGTCCATTTAAACTATGTTGTGGACTGCGGCTGCCCTGACATATCAGGTGCGAGCCACGGTTCTGGCAGTAGATCAATGACTTGCGAGGTTAGACTTCGCTTGTGACGTGGCATGTGTTCCTATGCAAACGTGAGCTGATGGCCAGCAGACCCGAGGTGTTTGCTTTGAACTAATGTCGACCCCGGATAAACTAACCTTTCTTATGCGGTGTGCCCCTCCAGCAGTGACAAGTCAGCAAAACTAGGCACTCCCCCATATTAGTAAAGCGGGGTTTATTCGTCCGGGGTCAACATTATATTGTTACCTCAGACACTGACCTGGATTTCTCGAGCCGCACTTCTGTGACGGTTCCATGTCCAGGCAAGGCACGAGTGTGACGGAAACTAGTGCATCCAACTTTTACCTTTACTGGGGCATGGGATTTGCACAAGTGCGCCTCATTTCTTTGGTGCATTTTGCTTGGATGTTAGGACTTGAACTTTTTGCCAATGAATGGGTTTTCTTATTAAACCACTAGAAGTTAAACCTTTAGCAGGGGAGCAGAAAGCAACCGAGATTTGCTAGTCATTGGCAAGCACATGTCGGCTCCCGAGGGCCAGCGGTTCTCAGCAGGGACTGGCCAGGGCTCAATATTCGCCCAAGATCAGTGTACTCATTCTGGGCATCTGACTTCAATGCCTTGGGAGGGCTCATGGTGCTTGTGCTGTAAAAGCTGTCAATTCGCACTAACATCATCCCACAGGAAACTTGTAATGGGCTCCAAAGATGACATTGCTGGCAGGCTACCTTGTCGAAGGGGGGTCTAACATATTTATCGCCTTACAGGTAAAGGGCAATCAATGTATGTCACGGGCATCGAGGGAAAGGAGTGTCAAGCCATGGTGTGAAAGTGCTTTGAATTGGTGAAACTGTTGATTTGTCAGTTGGCGACGTGCTGTTGAGCCAAGGGACTTCTTTTGGGGTTTGAAGAGAGCCAATTTCCAAACAAACCAAGTTGCGTCCAGGTCGGGAATGCTGCGAACAGTTGCCTCCATTTCATGTTATTTGTGTTGTTGCCCTTTTTGACTGGCATGTCGTATGGTGGCAGCTGAAGCAATGAAAGGTAGGTTGAACCCCTATCCATGAATTTCAATAGGGACTCACGTATGTTTGGTGGACATAGATTCCCATGTAGTTGTGTCCGGGGCAGGGGATATGGAATCACTGCATGACCACTCAGATTGTTTTCAACAGAGGACACCCAGGCTTAATGACCCCCTGGTTTATGTTGACTTCACTTGGGTTTCCATTTAAGAGATGAGTTCAAACTCATCACTCAGGAGGTCCCCCCTCTCCTTTGGGGAGCCCGAGTCTGTCGGTTTCCGGCAGGAGCTGCTGGCCCGCGCAGCTGCCTCCGCGGAGAACGGCGTGGGGGCCACGGGCCACGTCTTCGAGGTCTCGGAAGAGGAGCTGAGCCAGCGACGCTCGGAACGCGGACGAGGGGCGGTTCTAGGGGTTGAGTCCCCCATGGGCTTCGGCTTTCCTGTGGGTTTCCCTTCAAATCCGCCAAGCAAGGGGTACCAACTCCAAACATCTAGGGGTTGATTCCTTGTCCATTCTTTTTCAACCATCGTTCTTTTCAACACCGATCGCTGTTTTCCCAGGGGTTTTGGTGGCTTTCTAGAAAGAAGGATCCCTGGAAAGAATGGGGAAGCTACCCTTTGAGTGGTGGTAGTTGGTATCCGTTTCCCTCGCACCAAAAGGGGGTCATACGGTCAAGAGCCATTGATGAAACGCCCCCAAAACAAGGTGTTTTTTTTTGGTAACTGCCTTGATTGCTGGGCTTAAAATTGGTGTGTGCTTTGGAATTGTTTGTTTCAGGTTGAGAAGGCAAGCCATGTGAGAGAACCTAAAATCATTTTGATTCTAACCTGTTTTCACACATGAGTCTTCAATATGGGAGTTACATTGCGTGATCAATGCAGTATCTCTTTCTCTCTCTCTCTAGGTATATACGATATATATATATATAATGTACATGAAGAGTGGGCATATGATACAATACTTTTGCGACATGACATACTGTGTAACTATTGTTGGGATATGTGTAAAGTTAGTTTCCATGTTCAGCTTCACTCACTGTTAGACCAGAATCACGCATGTGTTTTGGTTGGGGCAAAGAGGTAGACTTGGTTGGTGGGTTCCACCCCTTTGAGTGCCTTTAACATTGATAGGTGTCCCACTACCTATGGCCCTGGGCCGCCCAAAAAATGACCCTTCTTCCACCAGGCCGCTGGGTCACTCACTGGATGGTATTCCTCCGTGTTTTGCAGGATTAGCAATTTTAGAGGCGTAGCTATCTAGAAGGCGTTCCCTCCGAAATGCGGCCTTATCCGGGTATGTCCCTTTTCGAGGGTACAAGTTTGGCCGCCAAAGCGGGGAGGCCTATGGAACCCTTTCCGTTTTGGAGCACCCTCGATTGACACGCCTGATTGTGTTGGAATCAGGGTCAGCACTGATTGGTGGTAGATAAGCATTGTGTTAGCGCAAAAAGTATGTCTTTGAAGCCAGCTGTCACTTAATGCGGACAGGTGGCTGCAGGCGAAGATGTGCATGCTGGGCTTGTTTGGTGAGAAAGGCCACCAGTCGTTGTCTATCAAAAATGGGCAATGGATGTCGAATATGCTAACCATAATTTTGTTCTGTTTCAAGTTTGAAGGACTCATGCTTGGATATCACAACTGGGGCAACTGCTGTTTATGAGCGCAACTGCTGGAATGGCACTTGGCGTTGGATGGCATATTTTCCAAATGATTGCACTAGCCTGTCCTGTGCTTTGAGCTTGATGATGCTGTCGTCTTGGCAGGTGGTGTGGTGTGACACATGAGGCTACGGGAAATGGGAGCCTTGAATCTTTGGTTTGGGGTTCCAGGGGCTTTTGGGAGCGCAACAACCCTCACGGATCCAATGTCTCCCAGGCTTCCTGCTCAAATCCAATTTGTTCATGATGTGTTGTGACTCTGTTGGGATGTGGTCTGTGTGCGGCACCTCATGTTGGCATTGAGGTTTTTGGCTCTTCCATTTGCTGAAGCACACATGATGGCATGGCAGAATCGCCGAGTTCTTGTCCTAGATTTTGCCAGAAGCCAACTGAACAGCACTAAAGCCCCTTCTAGTCAAGGGCTTGCAGTAACACAGCGCCGCGTAAGCTGAACATGCAGGCGCGTAAGCGTGCTAAGCATGTCATTACGAGTTTTCCTTGCGCAAGCTGCGAGTAGTTGATCTGCGGAACGCGCGGGAATCTTCGGCTTCCAGCCGTGACCCTGGGCCCTTGCCACAGGGCGCTGTCACGTACTACGCTGGAGCTGCCAAAGTCCGCTTTGAGCACTGCTTTCGCGCCCGAAGGCGTCGCGTAAGCCAGCGTTGCGGCATGCAAAAGTGTTTCAAAGCACGGCTCGTGTGGCCGCACCACGTAAGCTCTGCCATGAAGCACTTCTGCGCGTAGGCTGGCTGTGTGCGCGCATGTACCGCGCGAAAGCATTGGCGTAAGCATCTTGTTATTGTGTTTTTTAGCCATGCAACTGCATGTAGCTGCAAGTTCAGCATCTCGTCCTATTGGGTTACCATGTTCTTTTGAACCTTCCCGGTAGTCTGTCAAGTAAGGTTCTTGTCCGTCTTGGGCTGTGCCTGCGCGCCAGGATGTGTCATGGTTTCGCCAACAGTCGAAGGGATTCCAAGGTTTGACACACACGCACGACGCAAGCACAGACACAATAAACAATGACATATTCTGTATGTAGTATAGTTCAAGCCACGCTTGATGATGTGGCGACTCAAAGCTTGGATTATAACGAGTAATCATAGGGAGTCTCAATTGGAGAAAAACCTGGCAAATAGCATCCTGCAGGTGCACAAACCTCGCTTATCTTTGGTCAGTGAGGCCTCCTGAAATGTTCCATACCATGCATAAACGTCACGCCACCAAAATGCCAACCAATCAAATTTGGACCACAGGGTGATGTTTGAACCACTAGGACCTTTGTAGGACCTTTGTCATTTCTTGAACCTGGGGTGAGTTATCATGACCCACATGCAATGGAGTGCATCTCAGCGACATGGGACCTGCATGGGCAGTGCAGGATTCTGAAAAGCAATGCTGCTTTGATGTGCTGTTTGCTAACGTGGCGAATGTTGCGAGATGTTGCTAGCAATGACATTCCCCCTTTTGTTGCTTGGTTTCCCCAGTTGACTCTTTAACCAAATGCATATGCATGGAAATAACAGCTCGAGGTTCACTACATGATCGTGACGAATCAGCACTACCCTATTTTTCCTTCCAAGGGCTCACCTTGTGCTTCACAAACTTGAAGCGGGAGGTGCACAATTTGTCCTCGCTGGATGGGTGTGTGTGTGTGTGTGTGGTTTTGTTGAGAGTATTTTTTTTTGGGTTGTTTGCAGGGAAGCCAAAAGGAAACACCCCTTTTCAGGGGAGCCACGCCCATATTCCTCGACCTTTTCGGGTGAGGCGATCCCGCGGACAGATCTTTGTTGGGCCTGCCGGGGGCCTTGGCGATCCGGCCTGGGGATATCCCTGCCGGGATGCAACTCATTTGACACGCTGCAACCCCGGGGAATCGACCTTCTGATTGCATAGAAAGGATGTCACAATTGCAGTTCCATTGGAAATGTCGCCTTGAGACGTGTGCATGCCACTTTGGGCATCTGGTGTTGGCAAGTCCTTGGCTGTTGCACACTTGAAGTAGGACGCGCCCACCTTTGGTGTCTTCAGGGTTTCCTTCATTTCCCCTTTTGGAACCTCCAAAAGTGGCGATTGTATCAAGGGAAATCACCAGTAAATTGATCTTAAAGAGAAATCCAGTGACCCCTGTTTCCCCTTAGGTCCTTATTGGGTGTGTCTTCAAATGACACCGAAAACGCTGGTTTTCCTTTTGGTGTCGCTTCAAAAGGTACCTCCCCCCCGCAAAAAAACAACAACAACAACATAGAGAGACGGTTTTGCGTCTGCGTCTTTTTGAGGCTGCCATGTTCATGTTCTCCAAGCCAAACCCCCGAGACCTCCGAGGCCTTTGCACTACCAGGTGCAGCCTGTGGTGCTGGCCACCGCCCGCATCCCCGAACTCGAGGATGCCGAGGCGGGTCTCCCGCGGACGGCTCGGGTTTTGGTCTCGGTGGCCTTGGCCAAAGAAGCTTGCGGTGCAAATGCATCAGTCCATCTCGGCACTGCGCAACTAAGCATGTGCAACATGTGAACATGAGGAGAGCTTTGCTGACAATCAGTTTTGGGGTGACTTTGTCATTGCCAAACTTTTTCCTGAAGGCAGCACCAGCGGCACCTCCATGAGCATGTTTTTTCTAGCACAGCAGCAGCAGCAGCAGAAGCAGCAGCAGCCTGGCGGGCAAGTCTTGTTTCAGGCCTTGAACCAAATGTGGTGTTGCAGAAAGTCCTAGCTGGATGCTGGGAGTCAAGCGTCGTGGTGCAAAAGCTGACTGGTGCGAGGCACGTCACGCCGATTCGTGCTGATTTGACCTAAGACAACTTTGTCGCTGGAATTCCCTGCTTTGCGTGTTTCAATTGTAGGACAGCAACATATTTGTTGGACCGAGCATGATGTGAATAGCATTCTCCTTTGCGTGATCGATAAATCAAGCCATGCTGGAAGCTTCCTATCCGACTCGAGTTGTTGACACTTTGGATGTTTCTTGAAATTGGGGCATCACAATGGCATTCCTTTGACATCCAGCAAAACAGCTCAGCTAGGGTCGATCACTCGCTCCTTCTTTTCACCGGACCTGGCATCCCCTGGCAGGTGCGGAAATGGGCCGGCAGCTGAGTCTTGCATGGTCAGCCGAGCATCCAAAACTCCCGTCGTGACCATATGTCCAGCTGTTTCCATCACGGGTCCTTTGGTTCGGCTGTGCAGGTGATTTAGACATGTTTTTTTTGAACAATTTAACGTACGGGTTATTTGGCTGGGATGATGTTGCAGGTGCAACATACTTCATCGACAAAAGTCAAAGCTTCTATCGAATTGGCAAGCTCAGGCAGTATGGCGTGTGTGGAATGGCTACTTATCACACTCTTGAACCCTGTTAAGAGAAAATAAGCAATCATGATACTGACAATATTCGACTTCCGGGCGTATAAAATCGACCGGGATGGCAGTAGTCATGTGCATTCTTGAAGAAGCGCAGCTATTGTGGCCGGTATAATGAGCCCAGGGTCAAGGAGTCAAGGAGGGCCTGCGATAGCCCGCCCGACATGTGTATTTATTTTTTCCGAGGTGAAGCAGCGCTTTGGCAGAGTGGCTCCTGTCCACCGCATGGCCATTGTTTTGCTCAGCCCAGAGGACGGTGGGCAGCCAGAGTGGTTCGCTCCTTCAACTTGAAGCCCGCGATAGAAAGCTGGCCTGGAAGGCTCAACAAATCTTGGGGCGGTTCCTTGTTGGGAGTTGAGGAGAGTTTATTGCTCTAAGTGAACATTTATGTTGATCGATCAGATTCTTACGAGGAACTCGCTTGAATGGCCACTTGTCTTGCGATTTGACAAGACGAGTGCCCAAGCGAGTGCCGCATACAATTGAGAGCAAAACGGGGGCCAGCAAGCACGCAACAGCTTTGAAACGTCCTTTCTGTTTGGAGGGCGGAAATCAGTTCCGATTTAGGTGCTTCATTTGCCGGTGCGCAATCACTGCAAGACTTGAATCCGAGCATGTTCCCTGGGGGAATCGAGTTCAAGGCGTGTTGGTGTTGTGCGGCTGACGCGAAACTCTCACTTTGAAGGCGCAACAAGGGATATCAGAACTGACGCAGCCTCCCATTGTGGCACTCCTCGTTGAATTGCGACCTCAATCATGTTTCTGCTTTGACAAAACGCTGTTTGGGATTACAAGCGTCCATTTCAAGTTGAAAGGCTCTATCAAAAACCTCGAGGCCCGTAGCCGTGCGGTGAAGAATCACAATTTGAAGTGACAAGAATGCATGCTTGCATGCTCACCTCCCAGCCACGCTAAGCCCCAGCCTTCAACACTGAAAGGTTGTGCGGCAAGGAAGCGTACTGGGCAAATCAAAAGGCGCTTACATCAGCTGTTTCAGCATGAATTATATGATCTACCAATATGGGCGCCTTTCAAAATGTATATAGCCTAGAATAGTCTGAGTTGGACCGATCAGTGCCAAGGCCTTCAGGAGGTCGAGAACAAACGATACCCTTTTTGCGCCCGCTAGTAATAGTAGTAGTAGTAGTAGTAGTCGTAGAATAGAAGTGGTAGTGGTTGTAGTAGTAGTGGTACTACTAGTAGTAGTAGTAGTAGTAGTAGTAGTAGTAGTAGTAATAGTAGTAGTAATAGTAGTAGTAGCAGCAGCAGTAGTAGCAGATTTTGTAGCAGTAGGAAAATAATAGTTTGGGACATACCCATCTACCAAGATGTTCCTGTGGCACAGCAGGAAGGCACATTTGAAAGCACCCAAAAATCCAAAATGGATGCCAAGAAGTCTCAGGAGCAGGAAGCAGCGTGAGAGCTCGCAGGGTTTCACCAGCCGAGATCGGGCAAGGTCAGTTCACCCCCTGGCCAGACAGGTGTCTGCCAAAAATTGGCGTCGACGCCTGGTTGAGACCAAGGGAGTTGAGCAACACGCGACTAGTTGCATGGCAAACCTGGGTACGTTCTTGTTGCTTCTGCATGAGCTGGCCAAGGATTGTTCTTGGCATGTGGTTTCACGTTGAACCAGTTGGAAAAGGTGATGCATGAGATTGTCGCTTCTGCTGAGCTTAGTACCACTGATGCAGGGATGTCTAAGGATGCCTATGTTTCACATATGATTTGATCTGAGCTGAAGAGAACACCTGATTCTATATAGATCATCATGAGAGTCCAGAAACTCAGCATGGCATAATAAAAATTACGTGTCCAGCGTGTTCTTGAAATTGCACACCTGCGGATCGGTTTTCCTCATTGCGTCTTTCCGGTAATTCGCTCGTTGAGTTTGGCATTAGCGCTATGCAGATATTCTGGTCGGTGTGTTGGGGCCCGGCAAGGAAAGTCCAATGATGACAGCCGCACCCATCGAACTCGTTCTTCATTCCCCCATGCTGTCCTTGAGTGCTATTCCTGGAACCAAGCGAACAGTGATCCTTTAAATTCAAACTCTTTGCTAGTGGAGGCACTTTGCTTTGGTTTGCATTATTTGCTTTGACGCTCGGGCTTTCTACTGTAAACATGTTTCGGCATAATTGAAGCATGCGAATGCGCAAAGCGGGCAACACGTGATTGGGTGGAGTAGGCAATATATGCGGACATTCGATCCCCAACTGCTAAATTCGCCGCAGCCAAGCCTTTCATGGGGCTCATAGATGGTCAAGCTGTTCACCCCTTCAGAACTTTTGCTCAGTCCAACGTTTGGAATCACTCAGCCACCAGCACAAAATATGGCGTGACTGCCACGAGCATGAGGTAGCCCACTGGGCAGGAAGCAGATGGACAAGAGAGGCCTGAGAGGGTCACGAACGTGCCTGGATGTTGCCCGTTCGTCTGAGAAGACCAGCTCCAAGATTTGCCTCCCTAGTTTGAAACAGGGCCCCTTAAAGGATACACCGTTTAACAGTCACCTGGTGTAGAAACCCTTTGAAACAGCGAAAGGCCACAAACCAGTGTCAAGTGTCCCATGTCCCGCTCCCGGCACCCTACGCGGGCGTGGGACCGGTGCCCACCATGCTGAGGCTGGAGGAGTGAGCGCAAGAGCCAGGAGCGTCAGTAGCTTCCACCCCAATCATCCATTGAGGTTTGATTCCGCAGTGCAGCTGGTCTAGAAAAAAGGCCAACTGTACACAACCATAAATGAGCCTGGTGGCAGATAGTCATGCCACAATAGGTTATTTATCAAGCCATTCACCAGGGGTTCAGATATACATATATTTATAGGGAGGTATAACATGTTTCAGCATTTGAATGGAGCAATCATTTCTGTAGTTTGAACCGGTATGCGACAGCCTCCAAAGTCAGCAGGCTTGAACATAGATTGATTGCTGCTCCCGGCCCGTGACACGTGGAGAAAACTGAAACCAGCAGCAGCTGCGTCATATCCTTGCACATGACAGCAGCAGCGTGAGCATGAACATGACATAGCCGTGATGGGCTGTAATGGTGCGAGGTTGTTTCCATTTGCTCCTGACCGGCAGGTGAACATGGTTAGGATCTGCTGCAAAGCAGCGAAATGTTTTTGCCTGTGCCTTGCAGCTGTCTGCTCAACACACCCCAGGATGTTGGTGTCGAGCGCTTGCTCACATTTTACATGCCACCCCATGCCACACGGCAAGTACAAAGTACATCACTAATGGCCAGCACATCATTTTGGGTACAGACACCTGGTCATAAGGATTTTATCCTGATGTGTGCTTTTGGAGAGTTGGCACTTGCAATCATTGAAAACCAGTCAATCAACCTGGGAATATATCTCCCTGCAAGCCCAGCAACAAACCACACAACACACCTAAGCCCGAGTTGTAAAAGGCCCATCACAGTATCCTCCCGCCGAGTCCTCATGGCTGCACGTTTGCTTGCCGCAAATAAGTACTCGCCAGTCAGGCGGGTTGTGTAAAGTCGATTGTGCGGGGTGTGTGCTTCATATTATGGCTGGTTGTTCTTCATAGGCCTTCAATGTGGTCTGCACCGCGCAAGGCAGGCCCGCCTGAAGGCCCTGGCCTTGAGGGTTGAGGTTGTCGATGTGGAGGCTTCTTGTCATCCTGTCTGGAAGCGGTGGGCCTCCTCCTGGACCATCCGGGAGCAATGGTTGCTCGGTGTCTTGCGCTCTGACTTGCATGGACTCCCACCAGGCGCTTTGCGCGCACTGACGCCGATGCTGGGCGCACTGCTTGCTGTTGGTGCCACGTGCCACCCTGGGCTTCCACACAGCACTTTGTCGTGGACTGCCCGCACTTTGCCGCCCTGCGGGCTTCCCTCTCTGCCTCTCATGGCTTGGCCCTTGGCCGGACGTCGCAGCCGCGAGTCACTGCCAAGTCTGGGTGTGCCTTGTGGCTGGCCCCACCTTGGCCGCTCGCACCTCGGCTCGGGTTGCGGGTTGCCGCAGCCAAGCGTCTTTCACCGGGGCGTTGGCCCGTGGTGTCCGAACCCACCGTCAGGTTGGCACTAGCACATAGCAATTATTCATACGTGCAAACAGTGGTGTGATTTTGTTCCTAAAATGCTGCGGCAATGTCTCTTCGCTCTGATGTCACCGGCTCTGCAAATGGAGCAGCAAGCTCCTTGTTTTCGGGCAAAGACTAGTTCCGTGCAGCTGAGGGCGGGGGTCTGCCGTTTGTGCCATGGTTGAACCGTTTGGGTGGCAGATGGTCGTGATTTCTACTACAGCCAATGTGAGCGTCACTGTAAATGGATGATTGACCCGTAATGCAGATCCTTTGAGCACAGCCTTCGGAGGGCAAAAAAGGGGTCGTTGTTAGGTTGGGGCGAATTCCGAAAGCGTGCCCGCTTTCCAAAATAGAGTGTGGATGTGTTGATGGACTGGGCAATTGGCCAGAATCATCCCGACAACTGGATTTTGATCAGCTGTTTATGGGAATATGTGTTGAATCTGCGATGTGGACTTGATTTGGCAAGATTGCAAATGGCGGGAAGGACTCGTGAGGTGAAAGCTTCCTGATCTACTCGTGTGCTGAACATATCCAATATATATATATATATTCCCCGCCCTGTACTCCTGCTTTGCCCTCATTGTTGGAACAACCAGCGTTTCTGAGCGAGCACGTTCGAGACTTGCAAAGCGCAGTCGACAGTTGGCACAACACCGAAGAACTACCACCTATCTATGCATGGGTGTCTTATACCATACGGTCCGTTACCGTGTGACGAAATTTTACGAAGCAAGGCATTGGGCCCTCACATGATTCAGACACAAATTATTTGAGATTCTCGAACGCTCCAAAGTCAAAAAACCTCTCCCCCACAGAAACTGACTAGCGTGACTGCTCATATCCCCCGTCTACGGGGGACCACGGGGACTTCGAAGTTTCAGTGTCGAAGGTTCGCAGTCGAGTCGAGCTTGACCGAGCTCGTCGCTTGCTTTGGTGGCCATGGGGCCGGGGACTTTCGAGGATGCTCTTTCGCTGTGGTGCCGTGCGAATTTCGGACATGGTGGATTGGCGCCCTCTGCACAGTTGGGGTGCGTTGGAGCTGTGGCGAGGGGTAATTATTCTTGACATCGAAATCAACCCTCTGCGGATGCGGACTTCGCGTGGGTCGGCTCGCCCGATTTTTATACATCGAAAGTGAACTTCTGCGAACTTTGGGCGCGCGCAATCGCTGTCAACATGGCGCGGCGCGCGTTTTGAACATTGAAAGCGAACCCTTTGCGGGCGAGTCGGATCACTCTCGTCTTGGCGCGGCGCGCATTAAAGTGAACGCTCGCTTCGTGCAAAGGAAAGAGTCAGTCTCTTGCAAGAGATCTTGTACAGTTTGCTCTCGGCAGGGCCTGGACAGCGAACTTAAATAATGTGAGGTTTTGTCATGTATGCTGCGCACAGATCTTTCCAAGAGTTTTTACCCAGAGTTCCTGCACACAGATCTTGCCAAGAGATCCTATCAAGAGATCTCGTGCGGATTCTGTAAGAGTTGGCCAGAGATTTCTTGCGCTGGTCATTCACATCTTCTCATCAAATCGAGAGATCTGGTAGAGATTTCAAGTCGAGAAATCTCTCTTGGAGATCTTGCACACAGATCTTGCCAACAGGTCCTCTCAAGAGATCCTATTCACAATGCCCAGGACTTTCGACAAAATC